CGTCTGTTGTGGTGTGGAAAGGTCCTTGAGGAGGTTCACTTTTAGAGGGACTTGAAAATTTCTCTCTGATTTTTGTTCCAGCCAGTCCCTTTTGGAATGGATGCATGCTGTATTATTTTTGGTTGCACTTGCAGATCTGGCCATTTCATTTACCCTGAGTGGCTGGGAGGTCTCACTTTTTCTTCTGTTCAACATGCATCCCTAGACCAACCAAATGGGTAGGAATCCAAGTGGGAAGCCCCACGTGCTGCACCATGCTGCATCTCTTGCACCAGGGCATTTACAGAGAAAGTGGTGATCTCAGAGATGCCATGATGTGTTAACAAGTTTTTCCTTAGCCTGAAGGAATAATCGTTATTTTATAACAACATCCTTGCTTCTGCCAGCCAAAACTCTGAGGCTCATCAGAAAAACTTGATAAACATGTTAATGATGTGACCATCAGAAGAATCAGCTTGTTTCAGGAAGGGAGAATCTAGTTGTGAGGTGAAGCAACATTTCAAGAAGTTACTCATAGCTGAGCACTGGAGTACTGCCAAATTTTCAGTCTGTCATGCTTCCTTTAAAATTCCCTGGAAGACCTGCATCACCTAGAAGTAGCCATGAAAGGCAAAGTAGATTGATGAGAGGTGGGGGGGAACATCACAGAAAATAATTTTGGGTAGAGAACAGTCTTTCCAAATGCTGTTGTGGGTTATATTTGGTAACAGAATTCATTACTAGAATTTGCTTGGTAGAAGTAAATGACAGTGATTCCTCTCTGATGCCGGACATCCTTGTGCTGGCCTTGCTGACCACTGTAGGATGCTACTCTTGTGCCAGCTGAAATGTTCATCTTACCCCATAGTGTGCCTCCAGCAGAGCAGAGCAAGTTGGTCAGGACTGTTCCTGCAAACAATTTCCCATCCTCCCAAGCCAGCTGTGATACTATTGAAAGCTCATTGATGGATATTGTAAGTCTTTGCTCACTTGCTTTATCAATCCATGTAAACTTTTGGCATCTGCACTATCCTTTGGCAAGAAGCTTCACGGAGTTACTCCTAGTGAAAAACACAAGAGCACACCACGGCCGTGGCACAGCAGTGATGCTCTGTGTTTGTTTCTCCGCTGCTTTCTTCATAGGTCCTGCCCTAAGCTTTTCTTCTCTGAAGAACAAAGTCAGCAAGCAGAAATGAAAATTTAATGAAAGTAATTTATGAAGAGAAGCTTGCATTCGTTACAGTTTCCTCGTATATCATGAAGCCACATTGGTTGCAGTAAATAAGTCATGATTTAATTCTTCCCCCCCCTGTTTTCTTCCTAAATATGTTGCTTCTGCATCTGCCTCATTCCAAGAAGCTTTCTTTAAAATTATCTTTTGAGGTAACGCTCTTTACCTAATCAGGTTTTTCAGTCTGTTTGAGACAGTCTGTTTCCAGTAAATAATTCTGTCTCTTCTAAAAAAATGACTTCTAAATTTTATCAGATTATCAGATTAGGCAATTGTTTACTTTTCTACCTTTAAGAAATTCTCTAAGCATCTTTCTGAAGTACAAATTCTTGTGCAAGTTAATCTTGTTTAAACACATCTTTTTTTTTTTTTTTTAATTCTCTTTCCAGTTATGCAGAAACAATTTGCCCAAAGCAAAAAAGTGCAGCTTCACTAGGTATTTTGCCATAGGTACAAAAGGGCTTTTCCCTGATTGCTTTGTGTCCTTTGTTGTGCTGAATGCTGTTGTGCATTTTCTTTCTCTTTTAAAAAGCTGAAACAAAGCCGTGACCCAAATCCTCGCTGAAATGAAAATAAATCAGCTCCCAGCAGCGGGAGATGTTTGCAGATGAGACATATACACGTGGCTGGACCCAGGAAGTGTATATAAATAAATAAATAAACAACCCCCAAATCCTTCCCCAGGGCAGCAGCTCTACAGAGGGGACTGGAGACCCTGGGCACGGCCCCTCGGCCAGGAGTCGGGGATGCCCTGACTCGCACAGACATGGCCCCCAGTGACCTGCTGCTGTGGCATCCCCTGCATCTCCTCCTGGTGGGATGGGCTTGGTGGACAATCGGGGAGCTGGGAAACATGGTGCCCCTTGCTGGGACCACTGGGATGGCACCCGAGTCCTCAATGCACATCATCACTGCTGTGAGGTTATCACCACTCTGCAGGAGGAGAAGACTTCTTTTATTGCGTGCTGTTTTGGTGGGAAAGGGTAATTGAAGCTGACAAGTCTGCATGCCAGACTCCACCACCTGCTGAGTCAGCAGATGGTCTCTTGGCTGACAGACAAACACATCCCTAAATAAAAGGATGTCAAACAGGCTTTTGCCACAGGCTTGTGGGCTCCTGGAAGAGCAAGTCTCAGCTGGCCGGCTTGAGGAGGAGCCGAGCTGCTGGTGCACCAGCCAAAATCCTGAGATCCCCAGGGGAGCAGTGGAAGGTTGTGAGGAGCTCTGAAGGCTGGGGGAGAGAGCCACAGGTGTCATGAGAGGGACAGTCTCAGCACCAATCTCTTGTCAACACCAGCTAGTGGGGTGGTCAGGACAGTCCTGGCCCCACAGGTCTCCCTTTCTCTCTGCGCAGCATGGAGAAGTTGGATGGATGCCGTAGGCAGCTTTCCAGTGCCTGGAGGCATCTGATGATCTTGGGTCCTTGCATTGCTCTTTGTCACTTGCTTCTCCATCGGTCATCCTGGAGAACAGGTCACGCTAACCCAATCACAAAAGGACACCTATCTTGGTCTTAAGCCACAAGGGCTGCCACTTGTTCCACCCTGTGATGCCTCCAGCAAAGGTTTGGGGAAGCAGTGGTCTGCTTCCATGTTAAACACCATGCCACATCCCCAGACCCTGCCCAGGCTGTCCTCTTGGCATGTCCTCTGGGAGCAGGAGCAATACCACTTCTTGCTTTCCTCCTCCTAGGAGCCAACAGCTCCCACCCAAGACACACACAGGGGGTTAAGACAGATTGAAATCTTACACAAGCCAGTTGATCTTGTTCAAGCGCTGGTGAGTTTACCAGCCAACACCCTCTTCGTTAAACCATTTCTGGGATGATTGGCACCTGGACCAGCATGCATGGTGCCTCCAAGGGCGCAGCTGTGGGCTGCGGGGCAGGGTGCTCTCATTGCTGGGATGAGGACACCATCACTGGGAGAAGGAGCCCCAGGACCAGG